GTGACAGTATTGCCCTCAACGTGGGAGAGGCTTGAGTTCTGGTACCGAACTTGTAAATTGTTGAAAAAAGAGAAAAAGGAAAACAGACCAATCCTTTCTTAAAAAATAACCCCCCCCCCCCAGGCACATGAACCATTTAGATTGAAAAGGAGTGAGGTCCGGGTATGAACATGGGCAAAAGAGGAAAGGTGTTTCAAAGTATTGCTCCATTACAGGAGAGATGGGAGAACCAACAAGAAGGATCAGGGTTATGGGGTTGGGGGAGGAGATTTGAGAGTTGAGTTTGAATCCATTAGATTCCTGTTAGAAATTCAAGAAGAGATGTCATTGGATAGGGTGATGAAGGCAGTCTTAATTTAGGAATCCTGAGAATACAGATAGTATTTAACAGTATGAGGATTGGTGAGACCACCTAAGGGGTAAAAGAGAAGAGGCCTCTCCAGTATTAAAAAGCTGCTTAAAGGAGGAGACAGCTTTATCTAAGATGTAAGCAGAAGCATGCCTCAATGAAAACAAAGTTCGAAGTATAAAAATATGTTTCAAATAAAGTAGCCACTGACTTTGGCTCTCCTGAGGTCAATTTCAGTAGTGGGAACAAAAGCCCAACTGAGGAGAGTAAGAGATTAGATCATTGATTAGAAGAATGAGCACAACTTTCAAAAAGATTTGCTGTAAGAAGAGGAAACCAGAAAAAAAACTGCTCCCTGTAAACTTTATAAAATGGAGTCTTGGGATGGAGGGATGGAGAGCATAATAAGCAAGGAGCTGGCTTCACCCAGGCTATAGACTCTTATTTCTCTGACAGAGAAAGGAGGCAGAAGCTTGCGTGAATAAACAGGAGGTGTATGTTAGGTTTAGGAAGATAACTTCAACTCCTAATTTGATTGCTACTGTATCTTAATGAATTGTGAGACAAGATTGCTAACTTGAAAATGAGGTGAGAATGGAGGTTTAAAAATAGAGGTGAGTGGGTAATTTATCCTCAGAGAAACACCTCAGTTATAGGGTTTGTTATCCATGTCAACACCTTCCTTTTCATCATGCCTTGCAGACCCACAAGTGATGCCCAAACTGAGCTGTTTTGGCAGGTGATGTCACTGCCTGTCAGGGGGTAGGCAGACATGTGAACTTACTTCATCTAAAAGTACTGATGCACCTAAAAGGTTTGCAAATCCCTTCACACCAATGCTGAACCAAAAGTTTAAGATCTTAAAAAATTATAAATGTGAGTCACATATCCTATAAAATTTAACACAGGAAAATAGTCACTGCAATAAATGAAACAAAAATATTTATTAAAACAATTTCAACACTTTCACTATTATTCTTAGTGGAGAAATGTCAAAGAAATGAGCTAAGGTTAACACTTCTTCTTTCCCATATTACTCAGATTAATATTGATAATAATATTTATATAAAATAGAAATACTTGTATAACAAAACAAAATAATCTATATAATTAGAAAAAATTCATCATGATGCCAATGAAGCATTAATATTCAAAAATGGATTCTGTGTTTCTTTACCAACTATTTCCAGTGAGCTGAAGAGATGGTTCAGAGGTTAAGAGCACTAGCTCCGCTTCCAGAGGTCCTGAGTTCAATTCCCAGCAAACACAGGATGGCTCACAACCATCCATCAAGATCAGGTGCCCTCTTCTGTCTTGCAGGCATACTTGCAGGCAGAACACTGTGTATATAATAAATAAATAAATCTGTAGAAAAAAAAGAAAACTATTTCCAAATAGAATTTTTATTATAATCAGCAACAAAATTAGGTTCCTTGGATTAGATCTTAACAGAATATCTATAAAGTTTTGTATATTTTTGTAATTTGAGAACAATACAACCTAAATAAAACCTAAAAGACCTAAATATATGAACAAAGATTTAACATTCCTAAACAGGAAGACTTACTAATCATGAAATCATTTCTCTTCTAAATCAGTTTACATTTAGTACAATCTCACTTGAAACTTCCTACAGGATTTTTAAATATAACTTGATTGATAAAAATTAAGTCAAAGTTTGTACTGGAAATTAAGGAACCAATATTAAGACAGTTTTTATTTTTTTCATAAAACACCAGTAAGATATTTTAATGAGGAAAAACAAAAACAAATCTTAGTCTCATGTTTCTATCCAAAGACACTCAAGACTAATTTTTTCCCTGTCCATCCCTTCTAACTGTAACTTATTTGTGGTCATGTAATAAAGGTTAGTTTAAAGATTTAAAAAACAAAAGTTTAAATCTTTTTTAAAAAAGATTAAGCAATCAGGCTAGCAAAAAGGTACTCAATACACACTTTTCTCATACCAAACAAGCTAATATTTCAGTACAGTATTAGCTATACTGAATATATACAGTACACATTATTTTCACAAAGCAAACACTGGGCTCAGAACAGATTTGAAAAAACATGACATTCACATTGATTACAATAACTCTAAAAATGATTGCAACATTGAAACGGCACTTAGTTTACAAGAGTCACACACACACACACACCAAGAACCATGGTTTCTGTAAAATACTAATAGCCAGATACTAGTATATAAAATGTGAAGTTATGACACCGTATACATTTTGTTAAGGTATTTGTTAATCAAACAAAACAAAATTTAAGACCATTTTGTTATTGTAGGAAGTCAAACATGCCAAGTAATTTAGCTATGGCCACTGTCACCAAGTAAAGCCATACTTGAATGAGATGATGACAACTGTTACAAAGCTGGTGAACTGGGGACTGGCACAGGGGAGAGTAGTACTGCTTAGGAGAGGGGTAGAGGACATGGAAATGCCCATTCATGTAACTGAATTCAGCTTTCCTCACAAGTCCCCTCTTTGGCCTGTTTCACACATGCCAGTTCCCCAAGAGTCGCACTGCTCTAGCTGGCAGGGTAGGAAGTTTCCCTGATCTCCGTGCTGCCAGTTACAGGCAAATACTAAAGCATGCATCAGCCTCTCGGACCACTCGGCCACCGTGAAGACAGTTTTTAAAAACAGCCTGGAGCTTCATGGAGAGGGAGGCAAGCAAGATGATAGAACTACATGATATCAGAGAACTATTAAGGTTACCATGATATGGTTGATTTTGTATGGTTTACAGATGGTAATAGAAAATATCATAGAAAAATATCTGAGTCTTTGAAACTTGATGTTTGGTCATTTGATGACATATTATGTATTAATAAGGAAAAGAACCATACAGTAATCTGTAGTATTATAACTGATTGTCCATATAGGAAAAAAAATCTCTTACACACACACACACACACACACACACACACACACACACACACACACACACACTACC